AAGGAAACAAGAGAAAGAAAAAAAAATAAGGGAAAAAGAAAGAAAAAGAAAGGAAGAAAAGGAAAATAAGAAAAAGGATACTAACTTTGATAAATTTTGATTTTTGATCTTTTTGTGTGGGAAAATTTTGGGGTTTTGGGGGATATTTATAGAGTAAAGAGTAGAGATTGGGTTTGGGCTTAATAAATAAATGGACTTTAGTTATGAAATATTTGACTAACAAGGGTTCAAATAAAAGAATTGGGCTTACTGAAATGAAATGGATAGGTCCACAGGGAGTATATAAGGATTGTTTACATACTATTGTTTAAATGAGCCCAAACAATTAATAAACGTTTAGCCCAAAATAAATTATACTTTTATAAAACTCAATAATTTAAATACTTTAGCCCTTTAAATATTTAATTAAAATACTTGAGCACTTAAAAATATATTTTATAATTAATTAAATAATTTATAAAAATACATAAAAATACGGAGTATTACACTAGGTCTACCTTACCTACGACCCAATGATCATGTGGAGGGTACAATACCTTAATCCCAATCCTAAATCAATTAGGATTCATTAGGAATTTCTAAAAGCCTCTAGAAGGTTCTAATCTATCATTTTTGAAAGATAAAGATCAAAGAATTTGAAATTGAATAAAACTCCTCTTTTAGATAATCCTAATTTCATTCGAGTTCAAAGATGTTCAGATATGATTTTCGTGCCTCATAATTTTTATCCAAATCTTAGATGGTTAGATAGCCCTTGAAATTATCTTTCAATGATATATCATAATCCCAATTCCGAGCTATAACGAAAAAGATATGATTAAAATACCAAGCTTTATCCTAAACTAACACTATCCCACTATTTCAACCATATATTTTATTCTAAAAAAGATTTTAATCTGTTTTTAATTGGGTTGGAAAGCAGACTTCCAAAGCTTTCCAACGAAATGTTATTTATCTTATTCCTACTTCTGGATCAAAAGTTATGATAAAAACAAAAACCGTAAAAACTATTGTCTATCGCGAGAGTTTTATTCTGATTCGAATTCGGATCTTTTCTAATACTTCGACCATCTTTTTTCCTATAAATAGAGGTCGTATCACCCCATTTTCAATCATCAACAAGCTTGATCACCAAAAATCATCATCTAATCCCCTCCCTCTCTATGCTAAAGCTTATTCTATCTCTTTCTAGCCTTAGCCCTAGCCTAAACACATCCCAACACCTTCTTGATATCATATTTCCTCCACGAGTATCGAATACTCCTAGCCAAGCTCGAAGTTGCCTTCGACCTTGACGTGAAAGGTTGATAGTTATGAGGGTTTGGTCCCAAATCTATATTTCAATTATTTGATTTATTTGGTTTGTTTGATTTAATCTTTCTTGAAGTTACTAACGTGTGTATTATTTTGATAGAAAGAGATACGAGGCATCAAAGTGAGTAATTTGATTACTTATTTATTCCTTTGATATAGAAATCATGATTAGAATATTATTTTAATTCCTAGTATCATGTTAGGATGTTTATTTTGATTCCTAGTATCATGTTAGGGTATTAATTAATATTTCTAATATCATGCTTGCTAGTATCATGTTTAGGATAAAGTTTTGATCTTTTTTATTAGTGACATGCTAGGATTTGTTATTAATCCGTTTAGTACCATGCCTAGGATCTTGCTATTAATCATATTTTGATGATGCTATTATGATGATGTTTGTTGTGTTGTTTAATTATTATGTTGCTTGATTATTCATGATTTATTGTTATTGCTTGATCATGCCCTCTCTTGCATGTTTAAAGGGAATTTGTATTTGAAATCACGCCTAATAAGATAATTAATAATTTGATTTAGGTTAATATGATTTAATTCAAGTGATCGCCAATAATAGATTTATTAGTGCATTAATAATCAACCAATGTAGATTAAACAGGTTTAGGGCTAACTTGTTGTATGTATGTTGATCGAAAAGCGCACATGAATATCTTAAGAATTAAGTAGAGGACGATTAGGGCGGGTTCAATCTCTTTTAGGTTGGATTCGTACCATCATCCTCGAATATCCAGTCATGGTTCCAGAGCACTATGGAATTAGCGATCTCCGTGATCGTGAATGGGGTGTAACCTTCACACCCGTGAATGATTTACAAGTTCCTAAAACTTGTTGGAGACTCTTTTATCTCTAGCTTCTTTCCCTTTGGACGCCACCATGCATAAGTGCATGATCACAGTGGGGCTCAAAGTTGATGTTTGAAATATTCCCCACAACTACCCTTTATCATCCTCATCCCTCTAAACAAACAAGAGAATACTTTCATCGCTCTCCTCTTATCCCTATTCCTCCTCTTTTACATGGATAAGAGGAAAGGGATTTATATATTCTTCTGTTTGTTTAGAGGGATGGGGATAACATTGGACACGGGGATATAGGGATAATTAAAAATGAAATTTATCTCTCTAATGTAGTAACTAGGTGTAGACACTTGATTGTGTTTCCCCAATAACCAAACCCAGTGATGAGTTCGGTAAAGAGTTGAAGAGTCTCGCGAAGTTCCCTCAAGGATTGACCATATTTCTAACCTTACCTAAAATGTTTTAATGCAAAATCATTTATTTCGTGCCTTTAAACCCAATACCATTCATTTCGTGTCCAAGTCATAAAAACGTCCAACCAGATTATTTCGGTCTATAATACTGGTCCAATTATTGTTTAGATGGATGGGGCTTGAAAAGAGTTTTTTAACGATAAAATATAAGCCCAAATCCGACTTAAAACGAATAAGTTATGACCAAAATACTAAACCGAGCCCAAACCAAACCTAGGTTCATCTTACCTACGACCCAATGATCATGTGAGGGCCTAAATACCTTATTCCCCAACCTAAGCCAATTAGGATTCTTTAGAAAATTCTAGAAGTCTCGAAAAGATTCTAATCTATCCTTTTCGAAAAAATAAAGATCAAAGAGTTTGAGATTGAATAAAACTTCTTTTTTAATAATCCTAAACTGACCCTGTCCCACTATTTCGATCATATCTTAAATTCTACACAAGATATCAATTTTATTCCAATTTGGTTGGAAAGTAGACTTCTAGAGCTTTCCAACGATATATTATTTATCTTATTCCGATTTCTGGATCAAAAGTTATGATAAAAACAAAAATCACAAAACTGCAGGACCATAGCATCGCGACAGCACTATCGCGCCGCGGTGGACCCTGGCGCGCCGCGATAAGTCTATCACTCCGCAATGAAACCTGTTTTTATTCCGATTCAAATTTTGATATTTTCTGATCGCTTTGACTCTTTTTTTTCCTTATAAATAGAGGTTGTTTCTCCCCGTTTCAGATCATGTACAATAGCCATCAACAATCATCATCATCACCTTCAATCTTCTTAATCATTCTTTCTCCCTCTCCAGATCCCATGTTCTTAGCCTTAGCCTAAACACATCCTTATCTTGATACTCATCCAAATCAAACACCATTCCTCATTCACGAGACTTGAATACTCCTAGCCATCCTCGACGTTGCCTTCGACCTCGACGTGAAAGGTTGTTAGTTCTAAGGGTTTGGTCCAAATCTATATTTCAATTCATATTTGATTTATTTACTTTATTGATTTAGTCTTTCTTGAAGTTTACTAACGTGTGTATTATTTTAATAGCAAGAAGGTTGGGCATCAAAGTGAGTAATTCAATTACCCTTTTAATTATTCATTGATATTGGAGTAGAAATCATGTTTTCAATGTTATTTTAATTCCTAGTATCATGTTAGAATGTTGATTATGATTCCTAATATCATGTTAGGATGTTGATAATGATTTCTTGTATCATGTTTAGGATGCATATTATGGTTTCTAGAATCATGTTTAGGATAATGTTTTGATTATGATTTTTATTAGTGACATGCTAGGATTTGTTATTAATCCGTTTAGTATCATGCCTAGGATCTTACTATTAATAATGTTTTGATGATGTTATTATGATGATCATTGTTGTGCCAATTATACGTTGCTTGATTATTCATGATTTGTTGCTATTGCTTGATCACACCCCTTTTTGTAGGTTTAAAGGGAATTTGTACTTGAAATCACACCTAATAAGATATTTAATAATTTGATTTAGGCTTAATTTGATTTTAATTTAAGTGATCACCAATATTAGATTTGATTGTGCATTAATAATCAGCCAACGTAGATTAAACAGGTTTAGGATTAATTTGATGTATGTATGTTGATCGAAAAACGCACATGAATATCATAAGAATTAAGCAGAGGCTGATTTAGGGCGGGTTCAATTTCTTTTAGGTTGGATTCGTACCATCATCCCCGAACATCCAGTCATGGTTCCGGACCACTATGGAGTTAGCAATCTCCGTGATTGTGAATGGGGTGTAACCTTCACACCCGTGAACGGTTTACAAGTTCCTAAAACTTGTTGACAACTCTTTTATCTCTAGCTTCCTTCCCTTGGAGCGTCGTCATGCCTAAAAGCATGAACACAGTGGGACACAAAAGTTGAGTTTGAAAAATTTCCTACACGAAGGGAGGTGGTATAAGGGATGAGGATAAAATTTAGGAGGTTAAATACATTTTTAAGGAAAGGAGGGAGAAAGAGGAGGAATATGAGTAAGGGTAGTTAAGTAATTTTTGTACTTATTCCCTTATAATCCCCAATTCATACCAAACAAAGGATAATGTCTTTTTCATCCTTATCCCACCTATTAATCCTCTATCCTTATCCCACCCTTTTATCCTCTTTATCCCTATCCTTCATCCCCTCTGTTTTTTTAGTTGACACGTTTCTTTTATTATGTTTGCCTATGCATAATATTAACGATTTATATCTCTGATTATCAACAATAAAATTATAAAAAGTAGATAAAATTTATATTTGAGATGATTTAAATAAGATTCCACTCGACTATGTTCAATCGTAATTAGTTAAAGTATGGCTTGTGAATAGTTTTAAAAATCAAAACGTGTTAACAAAAAAAATGGAGGAAGTATATGTACACCAGTTCAGTGATAAGGTCAAATTTGTCAATTTTTGTAGAACATCGAGGTAATTATATGACTATGTATTTATACCTGTATATTGAGAAATTTTGTTTTTTTTTTAAATTTGCCCATGAAAAAGTACAGTATTAAAGTACTCTATAATGGGATGGGAAAAGTAATACATATCCTTTAAATACACAAAATTTCTTGTTAAAAAAAAAAAAATTCCTATATCCCTATATATTAGCCTCATTTGATTTTTTTTCTTTTGGGTGTTCCACTCAATTTACCTTTTGGGCTAATATGAATTCGGGATCAATTCTGCGTGTTTAGGTTCCAATCCTCTCTCAATTGTTATTGCGGGAGATTCATTTGAATTTTAATCGTGTTTAAAACATGTCTATATCGACTATATGCGAATTTCGACAATTATGTTGTTTTTTTTTTTTTAGGAAAATGATTATATTGTTTCTTATATAAAAGTGGTCATTTGTTGTCAAACTTTTAAAAATTTGACTCACATAATTGTAAATGGGGATAGAGATTATATTTTTAATTTTATGGAAAGAAATCCCATAAAATAAAATCCCACACGATTTGGTAAAAAAAAAAAAATCCCACACGATTTCATTTACCCTACACGTGTCAAATTCTCATTTGCCATAAAACATTAAAAAATGTTGGAATTTGACAAAAAATAACGAAAATCGAGAGTCCAATTTCTTGTAAACTGCGTTCAATTTAAAACCCCTGTTTCACTCTCAACTCAAACACCAACACAGAGAGAAAGACAAACTAAAGAACGCTCCTCCTCCTGCCATTCTTTTTTCAGGTATTTTTTATTTTATTTTTCCCTTTTGAATAATTTTCTTGTTTTTCTTGAATTATTTTGTAATCTTGTTAATCTAAATGAATTTTTTTCGTAAGAAAATTGGATAAATGGGTATATATATATATTTTTTGATTGAATTCTTGTGCTAAGTTGGTTTGTTGTTGTTTTATTTGATGAAAATTGAGGAAAAAAAGTGAAGGACGAAAGACAAAGAAATGGAGACAAAGAAGCAATCTTCTCATTGTTGGTGGTTTGACAGTTACAATAGTGCAAAGTGTTCTCCTTGGCTTGAATCTACTGTTACAGGTTCTTTTTTTACCATTAATTTTGGTTTCAGTAATGTTTTTTCATGTTCGGGTTTAGTTGTCAACGTTACTGGTTTAAATTATATTTTCGGCCGTGAGCCCGTGACTATTAATTTGGGACGGAAGGAGTATTTCAATAAGTGGGTTGATTGGGTTCAGCATATATGGGTAATAAAGATTACATTTTTTTTTTCTTGTTGTTAGTCCATAATTTCTGGGTTATGAATTCTCTGTTTGTACATTTTGAAAATTAAATCTTGATTCTTGATTATAAGTTTTACAGTAATTGTGGTGAATTGTCCTTTTTTTTGTTGTAATTTTTTTTTTTTGCTGAGTATAAATAATTTGATGTTTGATAGTCACAATCTTTAGGCAAATAATTATTTTTGTGTATTAATCTTGATTCTTGATGTGTTTCTCTGAAAATCTGTGATATTCTATGTTTTATGCTATCACAAAATTATGTAATTCATTGCACCAAAAAAAAAATAAAAAAAAATCATGGTTTCAGTCAACAAGTCTTACTCAAATTAATTGTCAATTTAATTTATATAAACAATTAAATTCAAATGTGGCCTGTTTTTATTCAAGGCTGGTAGTAGGTTACTTAGATAAATGAAGTATATAAATTCAATGCAGTTCATTATAATTACCAGATATTTGATGAATTGATGTTTATGTCATTACAATAATCACTTACCCGGTCAATCACTCTGTTGTTAAGAGGGGAAAGACGAGAGAGCAAAATATTAAATCAAAACAAGTTCCATCAAAGTAATTAAACGTAGTAGGGAAAGAGTCTAAACAGGTTCCGGTCCCCGGTCAATCAGTCTTAGTTTCGGGTTCTTTTTAATATATCGCGTAATCCCTAAATTCTTGGATGAGAGTGTCACAAAATACTCGTGCCGAACCTTATTTTGAGTAATTAAGTATTAAGTAGCTCATAATCCTGCTTAAACTAAGGAGCAAGGATGCATAATTAATTAATTTCATAATGTTACTTAATACGAGTAATTAATTACTGACAAGTTATGTACATGAATCATAGCACACAAATGTTGTGTTACTAACAAGTTATGTACAGAATATTGCTTTAGTGTAATTGAATGTTGAATTCGACCGTTGGAGGTTTTTTAAAAAAAATGTACAAAAGTTGTGAATTTAAAAATTGAGACTAGTGGAGTGTTGACTTTATGACCGACCGATCTATTGTTAATTTGAATAGAAGTATGGTTGTTTAAAATTGTTATTTTTGTACAAAGAAAATGATGTAATTGTCTTGTCTGCTTCAAACTTTTAAACATAAGGAGGATAGTGCATTATGTATTTATTTGGCGGTCCACTCTTTCTTTTTCATGTCATCTTTTTTTTTTCTTCACTTTTGTTGGTTTCAGTTATCACTAGCAAATGTGCAAACTTGTTCCTTGTTTAGGATTAGGAGTTTTCCTTTACATTATCTTAAAATATATACTTTGTCGACTCTAAATTTTTTTTGATTGGATGAGGATTGTCTTACAAAAAATTCATCGAGTACATGAATATGACGGTATGACCTGAAGTGAATTTGATCCGAATGAATAATTTATCATCTTTACTACAAACGTTTGTAAGATTTAAATGTGGCTCCAAAGGATCACTTGGTACTATTTGAAAAGGATAGTGTATTTGTAATATGATTTGGTTAAGTTATTGAGATAAATACTCTAATTAAAAATAGGAATTATCACTATTAGCCACCCATTTCGCTTTAGTTTCATAAAAGTTTATATCATTCAAGATAGAATGACCTTTTGTGTGTGTCATGACTAGAAATGTAATTGGAGTGAGTTAGTATATGGAGTCACACATGAAAATGCTTGCAGTAGAGGTTGCGTTATGATTATTAGCATGTTAATTACTCTTTTAATCAACAGTTGCAAGTTAAATCAGTTTATAGATCAATGTTATCAGATCCTTGTGCTACATTTGATGTTGTTATTGTCTTGTTACTCTTGTATATAGTGAATTGGCATAGTGTAGAATATACACAATGAGTTAATTCACGTTTGCTGTTCTTATTTGTATTGCTGTTAATATGACAGAGCTCAATGAGAAGACAGATTCAATGATGAAGCTAATAGAGCAAGATGCTGATTCCTTTGCACAGCGTGCAGAGATGTATTACAAGAAAAGGCCAGAGCTTATAAGCATGGTGGAGGACTTTTATCGGGCTCACAGATCACTAGCTGAAAGATACGATCTACTTAAGAGTGATCGTGGTGCTCGTGTTAGGTCCCCCTTGAGAAGTTCACTCTCACTACCAAAGGAGGAATACGAATATGTGCTTGACTCTGCTACTAACTCAGTTAAATCTTTTGATAGCTTTGCTGAGGCGACATACAGTTCTGAGGAGTTTGCTGAGTCTGAAATAGATGATCCTGATCATGAAGATGAAGTTGTGCAAATTGATCAGGAGACAGCAAAGCCATTTTCTGGTGGGGCTAGTTATGATGAGCTGATGAAACTGAGGGATGAATTGGATCGATTGCGAGAAGAGAATGAGAATCAGAACAACATTATCAAGCAGAAAGATGGGGAAAAAGAGGAGTTAGTAAAGCAGTTGTCAGACAATATCAGTAAGCTGCGGGAGATGAGGGACGAAATGGCTGCAGTTAAGGAAGATAATTTGTTTGTTGTGATGAAGCAAACTAGTGAAGTATTAGTACCATTTGACGAGGTGACAAAGTTAAAGGACGAAATGGAGAGTCTAAAGGTAGAGAACATGAAACAAAAGGAACTGGTGAAGAAGAAAGCGGATGAGGTAATTGAGGTAACGAAGAAGTTTGAGGAGGCAAAATTTGAGTTAATGAAGTTTGAGGAAGAAGCAGAGACTAAAAATAGGTACTTGAAGGATGCACTTGTTCTAAAAGAGGAAGAAAACATAGAAGTTGCAAGGCAATTTGAGGAGGCAAAGTCTGAGTTAGCGAAGTTGAGAGAAGATATAAAAAAAGAGAACGGGCAGACAAAGAATGAAGAGAAGCAAGAGGCAATCAGGCACCTGAAGGATGCACTTGTAGAAAAAGATGAGGAGAAACACGAGGCAATTAGGAAGCTAAAGGATGCACTGATAGAAAAAGACTTGGAGAAAAGAGATGCGATAAGGCAGCTGACTGATGCACTTGTAGAAAAAGATACCGAGAAAAAAGAGGCAATTAGGCAGCTGAAGGATGCACTTGCAGAAAAAGATGAGCAGAAACGTGAGGCGATTAGGCAGCTAAGTGTAGCCATGGAAATCCTCAGGGAGGAGAGTAAGATGCTTAAGAAGTCAATCGTCGATATTTCCCCCAAGAAAAAGAACGCTGACTACCAAATTTTCAAGGGTGTTAATCTGGGTAAATTGTTCAATTTATCTTCGAGCAGCCAACCTCTGAAGTAAACTGACATCATATGAACATATTAGCACATCTAGAACACAGTTTTGTTCCAGCAGGCATAGGTTTGATCTGAAATCTAGATTAAGATAAGGATTATGCTACTAGGTTGTATAATATGTTACTGTAGGGTACATATTCTCGAATATTTTGTCAGATTGTGAAATTGCAGCTTGTATTCATATATCTTTATATAATAATAATAATGATATGGTATATTTTTGCTTTCTATTCAATGTCTAATTTTAATTGTAACCTATTTTAAGTCGCCTCTCTAAAAGTACTATTACATGTCACATTGTTCAAATCCCGCACAATCCAGGGTATGATACGGCTTTGCAAATGCACTTATGAGCAGCTGCAGGCGGGCTGCTGCCATTACACACTGATGGAAGTAGATTTTAGCAACAATTGATAGACAAGCTTTACTGCTGGATTGTATTCAGTCGACTATTGGAAGACCAAGATGATTCAGAGAAGCAAAATGCTAAAGCCAGCAAATACGAGTCATATACTTCATGGAGTAATTGATAACATTCCGCAGCTGACTGGCTAGTGTTTAGTACAGGTTTAACGTCATGTACTCTAGAATATAAAATTTATACTGAAGAATTAAATAACTTGTCATTCCCCCAACAATGAACGTTTGGCATTGCTGTTGCATATCTGTGTATACCCTTAGCAATAGTTGTCATATACTTTTCAACACTTATCAGTTAATATAATTGGAGTTTAAAATTATAATAGAGTTTATAATTATAACTATGTTAAGAAAATCGACAACTTCATTCAAATGGAGGAATAAGACCAGTGAGGATGGATACGAATCATACGATATATGCTCGATCATCTTCATACTTCATACTTCAGTTTTCAAATGATGTACTAGGTATGACTTCGTTTTTATTTTTATTTTTCTTAAGAGTAAAATACACCGAGATCAGGACTGTATTAAACTCTACCTAGTTAGTACTTAGATTATTCACCGGATGTGAAGTCATACCTAACACTTTCATAGCATATAGCCCAAATAATTCCTAGAGAGGTCTTGTGATTTAACAATTAACAGTAAAGATGCTTTTAACCTCCTTTTTTTTCATTTTAAACCTCAAAAAGCAAATTTATCAGTTGCTTTTTGGAGGAGACTAAGAAAGTAATAATAATTAAGAAAAGAAACAGCTTTTCCATTGAATTAGCACATAAAAAAGACACTAACTATTGCCTCATCATTCACCTTTTGAAACCAAAAAAAATACAAAAAAAGGTTTCATTCAATTTCATAATTCATCAATCTCTTCCACTTCTACCAAATAACAAAAAAGTTTGTCCCCCTTGTTATTATTTAGTACAATAAATTCTATAAACTAATCAAGTAACTTCAAATAAATTATCATCCTACATTAAGAAATTATTGCAAGAGATACAGTACAATGTAATACAACTCAATCATTTAAGTAATTAACATAAATATATACCAACTTTATCAAAAGTAAGCTAAAAAAATACAAAGTGGCGTGGTGCAGTATTACACCATTAAAGTACCTTGAAGCTGAATTCACCAGAAAGCAATGAAAGCAAGAATCACCATTGCAGAATTCAGTACAACAGATAGTTTTGAAGTGAAAGCAGAGGATTCCGGTATCATGGATGATGTAGGGGACATGGAGGAAGGCAGTGATGAATCAGGATTAGGGGTAGAGAGGGAGTCAGGATTAGGGGGGCTTGGACTTGAAGGAATGATCGGAAGTGAAGATTCCGATGAAGGCGGGTTCGAGGCAGAGGTTGGTGTAGTAGGAAACAGAGGAGTAATATCAGGTGATAATGCAGGGGAAACAGAAGAAAGAGGAGAGTATGGTAGTACACTTGGTTCAGCTGCTATAGTTGACAGCTTAAATGTTGTAGTTTTATGTGTTCTGTAAGCATTGCAGCATGTTATGTAAAAGATGGTGAGATTTAGAAGTATTTTGGGTAGGTTTAAGGAGGCCATTAAATGTTAAAAGGGAACTGAATGCTGCTAAGAATGTGATAGAGTTAGAGAGAGAAAGAAGAGAGAGAAAATGTGGTTACATAAAGAGATGGATTAATGATATAATTTGAAGGGGTTTAAATGATTTGGTGAATAAACTGAATGCTAGGTTGGGTGGTGGAGTAAGTGGGATCTATAGTGAGATTACAGCTTGGCATGTTTCACTAAGGGACAAGTTAGATATATGTACCTTTTTTTCCTGGTACACATGTTAGTGAGGTGTATTCCGCTTTGGAAATTTCTTCTTTTCGTCCCGATTATCTAATTTTATAGTCACAAACGACTGTAGACGATATTACAGACTTTATACGGTAAATGATATCTGCTAATTTCTAGTGCAACATTGCAGATTTGCTGTATGTTAACCTGTATGGTTGATGAAATTTCATATGTAGCAATTTAATTTGCTGAAAATAAGAAAGTGAAATACAGGGGATACAACAAATTTATTATTTGATACTGAGAATTGTGTTGTTTGTAATTACAATTCCAAACTCGTTCTTATGAACCACGAGTCTGCTGCTATGTTATGTTAAGGTATTGGGTATACAAAATAAAAGGTCTTGCGACAGTGAAGCTTTTCACATTTCAGATATGTGAACCAAATGCATGATGTTCCAGTCTCCAGCCTGGTGCCATGATCCTGCTACACATCATAACCAAAGTATAGGATGAGCAGATCAACTTGTACTTGAGAAAGAATGGTCATTGTTCACTTATACCTGATTCTGCAAGAATAACAATCATCAAGGGAAAATTAAGGGTCAAATGACTAAAAATATAACCAAAAAGTTCAATAATAATGGCGCACAATTGACATATCAATTGAGGGAGGAAGATTGATCAATCCCATAAAGACCAATAGGCAAGGAGCATTAATAGAATCAAGAAATTACTTCATACAAAATGCAGTTTAAATTCCAACAACAAAAGTGAAAAACTTTACATAATTGTTTAAATTTAAAATCTATCCAAGGCAAATCATTACATCTGTAATTTTCATGTATTGTTTTCTATTGATGCCTGTATGTCATACACCCTATATACGTGAACATGCACCTTTTAAAAGGTACTCCTTTAACAATTACCTTATCAAATTCATATTATTATGAACGTATAGTGAAGGAACTCTAGTATGTTTAATTACTGACTGAAAAGAAACTCTATAACCCTCAACCTATGTTATTCGGACTTGGTTAAACCCTAAACCCTCAACCATCCAACAAAAATTTCAATGAAATGTAAAATGGTTGCAAGGCAGACTTTAGTCAGGAAAGGAGGAAAAAAAAAAAAAAAAACTATAAGAATATCAACCAGAGCTCCTAGAACAAATGAAACATGAAGTGAATTCTACAATATCAATCCATCGTAGCACTACAAGTGAATTTACTTTCACATAAACATTCCACAAAAAAAGGAGCATATAACAGTAGATTTCTGGTTAAAGTAATAAAGCTCCTACTTATTTTAGATTCTTCACCATCGTGTTGTTTCAACTTCATATGCCAGGGAAAATAACAATCCCCTCATAAATTGCAGTGAATGATGATTTCCAGCTAATTTGGCTTCTAATTCTCATTTTGGTAGAGAGCGAGAGACAGACAGCAGATAACCATATTAATTTTCTTACACAAAAGCAAACTGCAGCGAAAAAATTTATAGCTCCCTACACGTCCTTCAGCATGAAAAACTATTTTTTGAGCAGTAAAAGAATCATTACCAACTTTCATATATCATACGAAATATGACTATGTTAACTTGTTAAGTAGGCAAGCTTTAGATAACAAAAACTTAGGAAAAAAAATAACAAAAACAAATAATGAATAATAAATAAATAAAATTGCTGCTCTAAGCATACACCAACTAAGATATCAGCAAGCAGTAACTTGACAACTTGTCTGTAGACCATGCCCGCAAATTGCAGTGCAAAAATAACTCTATTAATCTATATTATAAATTAAACTAAATGTGTTGGGTTATCATCATCTAGCCCTAATCTACTTTGCTGTCAGTAAAAGAGTAAACTAACATATTTATTGCTGATTATATACATTTAAGAAGAAGTTTGGTACTTTGGCATGTCACGCTAAATGCATTAAGTTGAGCATGACTTATCTTTCATGAAAAAGATATGCTATGAGAAATTAAAGCTGGCAGAAGATTTAAAATCCAGAATCAGAGTAAAACAAAATGTGGCTTATGATTGCCAAGTATAAATTTCAGCTTTAACATCTATTGTAGATATTGATACATCAATAAGTCTAACTAAGACCTGTCACAAGAAAAGTGATATATCTATCAATATCATTTATCAAAAGTTTAATAATCAGATTTTTCCTGTAAAACCTATGTTACCTAACAAGGGAAATCATGAAGTACGAAACAAACAAGATCTTCAGGTTTTTGCAAGGTACCTGAGGGTTCTGAATGAAGATACACCACCAAGCCTTAGCCACCAATACGTATCATCGGTCTATTAGCCGTATTTGCAAGGTCAAACATTCCTGCATGAGCAGCTTTTTTCCTTTTCACCTACATCAGAATAACACATAATTTCTTATAAATATATAAATTCTTCTATAAGACAACTTTTCCAGAAGCAGAGGGTGCAACTTGCTTCAGTCACCTAACTTCTTACCAGAAGTATGACTAATTGACTATAGGAGTCACATGCATCAGAAAGAGAGGAGCTGAGATATTAGAACATACCGCTCTTCCAATTATTTCCATGAGCTCATTGTCATCAGCACCACTGCGGATAGGGTCTCTTAAGCTCACCTGCACTAAAAAAAATCATTAATGATTGCAATTAAGCCTATATATAGAGTGGACAAGGAAAATCAAAGCACGTCAAAGACTAGAAAATTAGAACATGCAAGTTATGACTTTGATGATGAACCTTTGCTCCAAAAGCACTTTGACCAATTGCCCAATACTTACCAATCTCAATCTTATGAACATATTCAACAGGTAAAAAAAGCCTAGGAATTTGGGGTTGCTTAAGTAATACGTTATGTTTTCGTAAGCCGGCCTGCAGACTTAGATGATTCCAATATTCATATAAGTAGCACCATGGTCCTTTTTCTTGAAGTGACAGGTGTAATTGCTTACTCCCTCAGTCCCACGTTTGTTCAGACACTTCTCATTGCATAGAGTTTTAGGCGATATGTTGTGATAAGACAGTAAACTCAGCTTTTTGCTAAAAGGAACCATTTCTGCCCAGGTAACCAAAGAGATGGTTGATAACCATAGAAAGAGGCATATCAAAGCGGCTGACCAACACCCAAGTAAGAAGTTACCAATGCTTATGAAGTTATGAGAGAGCTTAAAAGTATATTTTATCAAAGTTTTCAATCAAAAGGTTCTAGATCTCAATGACATTGGTAAACAATGATTGGTATGAACTTTTCTTGTCAACAAAGGAACACCAAGTTCTGTTTTTCAATACTAGAGCCTCGACTGTCCCATAGGCCATAGGTCTTGTAGTCTGATCTTGGTAATCCCTCTCTTTCCTCACTTCTCTCTTTTCCATCTCATCTGTATAATTATTTTTAATTGGTCTTCTTAATGGTGTCATTAAATCTATTAGGTTCACACTCCCCCCCCCCCTCCAATAAAATAAACTAATTTAGAGACAGAAGAATCAGAATAGATATTTATTTCCCTGTAGAGCTGTAAGAATACGAATCCCATCCACTAATTTTCTTTATCCTCTACAAGGTATTACACTATATATAACAACCGTTTGCATAGTTTGTCATCGTAGCCTAATTTCGAAAGCCAATTTAAAGTCTGTTATTTTCCTTTAATTAAGACAGTGATCAACTGTTGCGCGCCCATATTAATTAGATCCACTTATTGGGATGTAAAAAGTAATGATCTAAGCCTCTAATCCCCTGAAGTGACATAAGTTCATATTCATCTAAGTAACATTAGATAGGTTCAACATTGAACAAGTTAGATGAACTCTAGTTTTAAAAATTAATTACAATCATTATCACATATATAATAATCCTTTTGTTCCCAAACTATGTCCTATTTCACTCAAATTTCTTATCCTTAATTAGTAGCTTTGTTTCTTATTTGGGTGGGGTCCACTAACTAGTGACTTTTTTTTTTTTAATTATATATTTAATATTTTAATCAACAAAATCCCACTATATATTCTCTCACTTCCCCTTAAAATTATTAATTATTCCAACTAATGAATTTTTTTTTTTTTTTTTCATAAAAATTTAATCAACAACACTTACTACAATTCCTCTCCTAGAAATGGGGTTTAAATTTAGGAACGAAGACCAACTAGACTGTAATAATTTAATAATCAGAATATTAGATTAGCACTTCTAAGAATAAAAGTAGCAGGTACCACCAAGACGAATTGGAATAATAGTAGACTAGCAGATTATGCATCCCTTACAAACTTACAACGATTTTTTTTTTTTTAAAATATTTTTTATTATCATTGGTGTGATAAGTTTTTTATTTTTTTATTTTTATAAATTCCTACTCCAAAGCATAAAACATAAATCCACTATTTTAAAAAATCCATAAGAATATACATTTATTTGATAATTTGGGGCTTTTTATTTGGTGTCAGCAAATAGTTACACAGTACTTGAATTCTAAGCGCTTTTTCTGATCAATGGCTCAAAATTTTTAGGTCAAGGAGCCTACAGGGAGGGCCAATGGGGTATATCGTAATTAGTGATACTAATAGTTTTAGGCATGCATGGAATTAAATCTCAGCCACATCGCGATGGCATTGTAATGGTTCTCTTAGCTTACCAATTACCATTGACTGTGATATAAGGCCACAACAAGCGCAAACCATTCCACGACCATTATTGTGATCACAACTGCAACAAAGATTTGAAACCATGTTTTTAGGTGTGGTCAATACTTTTTTACAAATAAAATCCCACAGGCTGGTAAAGGGTGGGAGATTAAGATAATTACAAGCAGAATGCACATCTTCTAGGAAAAAAAGGCACATTAACTATTTGAAAAAAGCATTTGAGGCCTGGCTATGGGCCTGCATTTATGATAGTATGTTGGGTTGTTAGGGGATTTCCTCTTGAGACCTTAACTTCACCTTGTCTGAATTCTGAAATATAGATTCTGCGTTAGACATGTTTCTACTTCCTCCGTTTTTTTTAAACTTGCAACATTTCTCCAGTGTACACTATTCACACACTCTACTTCACTGCAATTTATACTTTCAGAAAACATGGGATCTTGTTGGATTCGTCTGAATGTTGTACTTTAATAAAATTTAATTTTAATAAATTTTTTAAAAATGCATAATTAAAGATATCGACGATTGAAGTTATGCATTGGCAAGTGTGAAAAACAGAAAATTTACAAGTAAAAAACAGCAAAGGAAGTATATACTTAAGTTCCCAAATTAGATCAATGGGAGGGTCAAGAGTTAAGTCCTATTATTTTACCTTGTTGAAGTCTTCATAAGTAGTCAGGAATGCCCCTTAGGTTAAGTATACTAGGACTTCTTTATCCGTAATGGACCATGGATCATCTGAGTAATTTTATAGTCATGAGGAAGCTCAACTTTGTTAAGAAAAAAAATTGATGTAAAACATACAGAAATTTGGTGACCTAAAGTTAAGTAGTTTAGGGATAACTACTTAGATTACTTTGGCCTTGTTTGGTAAAGAGCTTTTTGGAAAGCTTTTAGCTTATTGAGCACTATTAGAGGTTTGACCGTTTTAAAAAGCTAATTTGAATGTTTGGTAAAGAGCTTATTAAAAGAGCTTTTTGGACTCAAAAAACTCTTTTAGAAAAAGCTCTTTAAAAGAGCTTTTTGAAATTAGCTTATTGAATAACTAGCTTTTTGGATATTAAATACACTGAAACAACTAATAATAAACAGCTATTTACCAAACAGTTTTACACGATCAGCTAGCTAGTCAAATCAGCTAGTCGAACCAGTTAATACAATCAAGCAATCAACTATATTAATCAGCTAATAGCTAATTACCATACAGAGTCTTTGGCAAATTATTTTGGCCTTTAATGTTACCTCACAGATTGATACCAGATAGTTAAGGCAAATCAATAGAAGAATGAAGGCTAGAATAGAGTTGGATGGTTTTATTCTTCAGAAGATTTGTAGCATTCATCAAATTTATGAAGTAGAAGAGGACTACAACAGGGGGAGCAAGCCGTTCTTTAGTTACTCCTTCTGTTTTTTAAAAGTCCATCAGATTGACAGACATGTAGTTTTAGGAAGTTGTGAATGGAGTAAAATATTGTGCAAGTAGAATTATTGGGAAATAATAAAATGATAGAAAAGAGATATTTGGGTAATCGTTTATTGGGAATTATTGGGAAATAATAAAATGATAGAAAAGAAATGTCGATGTGAGAGGAGGAAAATAATAAAAACTAAAAAATAAAAAAGTAGGATTGGGGACCATGTGAGGAGAGTGGTAATATAAACAATAAATGAAGATGTGCAAAAATAGAAGTGATGCACTTAAAAAAAAAAACGGAGGGATTAGTTAAGTGGAGAAATTAATATAAAAGCTTAGTTTAAAATGAGCTCTCCACTTCTCCTCCTACCAATTTTTTTACAATGAGATTGTAAATTGCCCAAAGCTTGACGGATTAGAGTAAAGCTTGATCGTTTGAGCCAACAAAAAATTCTTAGAAAGGCCTTGCCATATTAATGATTTATTAAAATATGGAGCCCAAGAAGTCCCTAGATCTATATAGTTTCATGGTGGTTCCTTTTTCCCAATTTCTTTGTGGATGTGACAAGAAAATATGCTTCAATAGCTTCAAGCTTACAACTTTACACCTTACACCGATCAATTGCACACTTGTATTTTACAAGATCTTGCCAAAAGTTCTTCCTAATACAATGGACAAGTTTCTTCCTGACAAAATTTTCTCAAAAAGATTAGCTTTTGCGAAGAGTAGACTTATATCTGGTGCTGAACACGATGGTAGAAGTTCTTCACAAGGGAAGAAATTTTAGAATTCATTCTATATTTTCATGTTATAAGAAGGCTTAAGTGGGGTATTGAAATTACAGGATAAAGTTATTGACAGAAAACTCTTTCTTATTTTTAGGTAGAGGAGGTGTAATAGTGGTCTTTCCACCTTGACTTTTCCAGAGTTGGTAGATGGTCATCCTAGGAGATGGGTTATGACTGATGAGGCTCAAGACAAGGAGATACCTACCTTCTCTATTTGTTTACTTCAGCCTTCTGATCTTGAAAATCATGATTCTATGTGAGACAAAACGAGGTTCATTAATGGCTTGGGAGGAGCCACCCCCCCCCCCTCCTCTCTTCCTCTCTCTTTCTCTGGCCAGTGACGTAGGTTTATTTCAGTCAGGCTACTTAATATATTCAAATAAAAGACATTATCAAGAGAAACATAATTTTGGTCCATTAAACTCCAAAGTGAAAAGTGGATCTTTCACCCCCATCATAATAGGAATTATTTTTAAGCTAGTGCAAACAAAAAATTGCTCGCTAAGTTCAGTCATTAACTCAAAGTTGCCCAATGCACTTCAACAAGACCCCTTTATAATTCCACAGAACAAATGCCTTCATAAAGACAAGTCGGCCATGACATTGGATAAGGAATATATCTTGAAGTATGATGCAAAAAATTGACAAAGATAGGTAAAAGGTACTTTTGCTAGTTAGATGAAAGAGCATACAAATGGATGGAGACACTAAACGGCAGAACAAATGCCTTCAAAAAGACATGTTAACCATGTCGTTGTAAAAGGAACATGCCTTGAAGTAGTTGCAAAAAAAAATAACAAAGGAAGGTAAAAGGTACTTTTGCAGTTTTGCTAGTTTCAGGAAAGCGTATACAAATGAAGGGAGACACTAAACGCCAATGAAGTGGCAGAATATAACCCGTGGCAGAATATAACCCACGATGAATTTTCAGGAAAAAAAAATAACAAAATGATGGAGCCAATTACCTCTGCAGACCCAAAGAGGCAAACTTTCAGGTTCCCATCAGCTAAAAGTCGCAACCGATTGCAGCCAGCACAAAAATGCTCAGTCATTGATGTGATGAAGGAAACAGTTCCACGATGTCCCTCAACCCGAAAATTCTTTGCTGTGTCTGTTGGATCATCATTTAGTCTCTTCAAGTCAGAAAATTTATTGACCTGTAATTTACGAGTAACCAATGAAACATAGAGGAGATGAGGATTTAAAGAGTATGAATCATAAACGCTCTTCAAAATAGGCAAAATTGCATACGATAGACATACCACTCTATCCATGATCTCATAATAAGACACGAGTTTCTTGACATTCCAAACATTTCCGTCAAATGGCATGAACTCGATGAATCTAATATTAATAGGCTTCTCACGTGTTAATTCAATAAAATCACAAATCTCATCGTCATTAAACCCGCGCATGACAACACAGTTCACCTGAAAAAGCAATAGTGAAGAATGAACAAACATAAAATAAAGAGGTAGGGATAATATTCATATTTAAAGATGAAAAATATACCTTAACTGGATCATAACCAAGGTTAACAGCAGTATTGATTGACTCAATAACCTTTTCATGCCCTCTCCTCCGAGTCATGAATTCAAATTTTGCAGGCACTAATGTATCTAAGCTAATATTCACTGCATTAAGGCCACACATTTTGAGCTTTGGCAGTTTTCTCGCAAGCGTAAGTCCATTGGTTGTAATGGCCAGTGTTTTCAATCCCTTCAATTCAGACAGTTGCAAGCAAATATCCTCAATATCTTTCCTAATTGTAGGCTCCCCTCCGGTCAAACGTATCTTATTCACTCCACAATTGACAAATAGACTTGCCAATCGCACTATTTCATCTTTCGAGAGTAGTTCAGGGCCAGGAGTGAGCTCCACCCCATCAGCTGGCATGCAGTATTGACATCTAAGGTTGCAACGTTCAGAGACGGAAATTCGCAAATACGTATGCAGCCTCCCAAATGAATCAACCAACATGTCAGAAACTGAATTTACTTTTGTATCATTTTCAACCATCTTAGTGCAAGATGTTGAATATGTATCAAAGACGGAACCACGATTATAACTGTCGACCAAACCTCGAGAAGCACCGTTAAAGGCCATAAAATAAGACCCATTTCCATGATCAAACTGGTCAAAAACATCAATAGAGAAATATTCATTACAACCCCCAATGTGACAATATCTTAACACATATTTCAATTTCCATAACCAATTTTCAAGTATCCTGATGGGCCCATTTGGTAAATAGTAATAATTGCGACAGTGGGAATGAATTTGTACGTAAATATGTAAGAAAAAAATAAACATGTGCCTATTACCATGGCAATACTAAACCCGAGAAAAAATGCGAGTGTTTGACAAGGTAACGGTTTAGAAAGCAGAAAAGTCTGAAGAATACAATATAAAAAAGTAAACATATATATAGAAAATTACCACATTTTGACATAAATTGAGTCGTCTGTAGCTGAGCAAAGCTTTTGGTAAGTAGCGCCACATCTTCAACTCAAACAAAAAAATGGCGTCTTTCAATAATTCAACTCTATAACAGGAACAAAGTGATCAGTCCACCTTAGATGAACCCTAAATTGACTATACTAGCAATTAAATCAACGATAAATTGATATTCAATGATTAAAATAATCAATTAATTGATGTTCAATGATTGAATAAAAAGAGCATGTTACCTGAGAAAGTGGTTGAATGGAGGAGAGAAAGCTGAGAAGGTGCATCAATGGAGAATTTAGAGCAGGCTTCAATGGAGGAGAGAGAAAAAGTGGGGGTTTTAGGTGGAGGTGGAGGTGGAGTCCGATTGCGTAAAACTGTGAAAGAGGAAAGAAATGTCGATGACTCAATTGCTAGATGAGTAGATTGAGATTCTAATGTAGCTGGTGACTGGCATTTTAGGGAATTTGATGGCTTATTGTATTTGTACACCTTTAGTCTTTTGGACTTTATTGCTATTATTTTAGCCTCAAATACTTCTCACTCTCTCTCTTTTCTCCTTTCTCCTTTCCCTGTCCTTTCTCTCCTGTCGCTCCGTTCTTTGTCCTCTCTCCCTCATTTCTATGCTCTGTCTTTACCTATACGCTTCATCTTCGTCTGTGGAGTTTGAGTTGGAAACTTGGTAATTATCTAATTATCATTCTCGGTGGTGCCAAGTTGTTGGATTCATTCGTTCAAGGAGTGGTTGTCCTCGTGAAAATTTGAAGCAAAAGGGCGGTGAATCATTTTTGTGGGTAAGTCGAAACTTTAGGATAGCGCTGATATAGAATTGGTTTGTTTGTTTGTTAGACGCTATTGTATTTAACCTCGAAATTTTAGGGTTAGGGCAATTAAGAAGGAGATTGAATTGGGGGTTAATTTTGTTGGTTTCCATTGACAATTGATTTCGACTTTTGGTTTATTTGAAAATGCAAGTTTGTTTATTGGATTTTTGTTAAGTGTGCATTTCGACTTTTGAATACTGAGTTTGTTAGGGTTTTATAATGCCGATGAGTTAAGGGTTTAAAATTGGGTTATTGGCTAGCTTGAAAAATTTGTTCTTTTAAATGAATTTGTGGTTTTAGAAGGTGATTATGAATGTGGCAATTTTAACTGTTCAAATTTAAAAAATGTGATTATGAGTGTGGCTATTTTAATTGTTCAAATTTAAATTGAATTTGTGGTTTACGTTTTGAACCCACTTATGCTTAGGGCCATGAATGTTGGGTTGTTGGGTGTGCTAGCCAGCTAAAATCACATTTCATATTGTTGTTTGATTTGATTGGGTTTATATATTAACTGGAATATAGGAGTTGGTCCTGAGTTTCAATTGTTTACAGTATATGGTTTGATCTTGCAATCTTCACAATTGATTTCCATTCAGAATATCTGAATCTTGATATTTTATGGAGTATTACTCCCATTATACATATTTTACCATTCATCCATGTGCTAGTGCTATATTGCTAGCATACCTACTACTTGTATAATACTACAATCTTGCCTTAATTACAGAATAACATCTAAATCTGCAGATAATAATACCTTTGGATATGAAATGGGTTGGTGGAGGGAGGGGTTTGTATATGTTAGATATTCTTTAATCACATTCTGAAGTTTTTGATACACTGACTTCTATTGGTAAAAATATTGGTTTATCTTGGTACACTACTATGGTAAATTGATAATGGACCCCTTAATGAAAATGACATAGTCATACCATCAAATTGCCTAATTGAGCAAGTTTCTTGCATAATAAAGTTATTGTTGCTTAATGAACATAGCCAAAAGTTGATATTGTGCTTAGATTAATCTCAGATTTGTTTACAATTGATACTTTTCTGACTGACGGATACATATAGCTCTTGGACCCCATTGATCAGTGATTCTAACAAGATGTGCAAAGAAATATAGTTTTTTTGTGATCCTTTTATAGTAATTAATTTTGATGTGGTGGTTAATCGGTGTGTGGTCGTGGTTAATCCTTAAGAGTCACCAGGTTAGTGCTAAGCAATAGCATATTCAGTCCATCTTTGACACAAATAACAAATAAATGAATAAATACTAGAGCTAGAGAGAGGTTGGGATCATTTGGGGAGAATAAGCTATAAAGCCTGTAATGTGCACAGGGGTTGGAAGTATGAGTGTGATAGAACTTCCATTGCATACTGTTTGATTAGATTTATAATGGTTCTGCACATGTGTTGACATTGAGCTATATGGAAATGGTCGTTTAATTCCCTTTAATATTCAGTTGCATAGTAGTTGATTTTTTTTTTTTTTTTTTTTTTTTTTTATTGTAGCAAGGATTGAATTGGTTTTGTACATGCCTTTGGTTTATATTGAAATGCTGGTGTTGATAAATGCTTTTGCACATGCTGAGTTGCTGGGTGTTGCTGATTAAGATAATGTTATTATGTATCTATAAAGTTATTATTCAGAATGATGCATGGGTGCCAATTATGGTTGTAATGATGCATCTGATGTTGGGTGAATTGTAGTTCTGTTAATTTATCTTCAAATAAAAATGTCTTTACTTTGTCTTTGAAATAGGGTTTGTTAAAAACAGAAGAAGACGATGAGGAATAAGTTTGTAGTTTGGAATTTTTCTTGGAAACGGATGGGGGTGAGTGTTCCTATGGAGTTCAACTATTAAAATTGTGGATATTTTCTTTAATATGTAAGCTGACAATGGTTATTTGTTTTGTTATGGTACTTGGTAGTCATGTTCAAAGTCTAGAACGTCGGAAGGGGATGCTGGTAATTCAAAAGGTGTTGCTGTTAAGGCGAAGTCCAATCTCAAAAGAGGCAAACAGAAACAAATTGCATTGGAGCCTATTATTGAAGCTACGCTTCTGGTTTTGGTTCTACGCAATCGGAGTACGAGGAAGATGCATCCAGTGGCGGAGCCAGGATTTTCAAATTGGGGGGACGGATTATGGATATAATATAATTTGACAAAAATCTTAACAAAAAAAAAAAAAAAAAACTCAAACACACAAATTGGTTAATACTTAATTTTAAAATTTCAAAATACAAAAAATACTTAGTCATACAATTCAAAATGATGAAAAAAAATTACATAAATATTAAGTTAAAATTACACTTGCATCCTTCGAGTCTTCATATTTTGAAAGCGATCAATAATTTTTTCATCAGAAACTTGTAAGAAGACATCCTTCTTAATAAAAGTAACTAAATAATCATTTATAAGTTGATCACCCATGTTACTACGTTTATGTCAATACGAGTATGTCATATTTAAAGCCAACGGAAAGCAAGCTAAACCAATAAACTAGAATTGTTGAAAGCTGACCAAAGAATATGGCAAAAAAAAGATTTTCTTTTCTAATTTACTTAATAAGATAAAAGGAAAAATTACCAATCTAGCTTAATTATCAAACAAAACTATTAACCAAACTAAGCCTGAGGGTAAAACGCCATCCAGGTTAGCGTTTTACCCCTGGCAAATTTTTTTTAAAAACATTTCAGTTATGGGTAAAAGGCTACATACCGTAGATGGCGTTTTTACCCCTAACTGAAATGTAAAAAAAAAAAATCCAAAGGGTAAAACGCCAACGTGGAGGGCGTTTTGTCTTCTTCATAAAATGCCAACCACGCTGGAGTTTTTGCATATGGGTAAAACGCCAACCACACTGGAGTTTTTGCATCGGGTAAAAACTGCTACTTCACTTCAGTTTATTTCATTGTTCTTCAGTCAGGGGTAAAACGCCATCCAGGGTAGCACTTTATCCCTAACTAAAATGTTTTAAAAATAAATTTGTCAAAGGGTAAAACGCTACCCTACATGGCGTTTTACCCTCAAGCTCAGTTTGGTATATAGTTTTACCACGCGTCTAATATGGAGTATAGTTTCTTAATGAAACTTCCTTTGGTAATTTTTCCTAAGATAAAAGCATTAAAAAAGTAGACCACCATCCATAAAAAAGTCGAGAAAATCAACTCCCCAAATAAAAAACTAATCCATCACATTTTCCAATCCCACAAAAACAGATAAACTCTCACTTTCTCTCTCCTCCTCACTCTCTTTCTATTTCTTTATCTCTCTTCCCCTAACGTCTTGAATGGCGGCATCAACAACATCAACAATCATAGAAGAAACTCAATTAAAAAACCAGACATTTTACTCAACTTACTTGGGGGTTAGTTTTGCAGTGTTCTTGTCATTCTTACCAAGTAATGCAATTTTTTTTTTTTTTTTTTTTAAAAAAATTGGGGGGATAGTTGTCCCCCCATGTCACTTAATTGGCTCCGCCAGTGCAATCATCTAGCTCAGAGTCCATTGACACTCTGATAAAGGATTACTTGAAGCAGAAGAGTAAGAAAAGGAAGTTGGCTGCAGCCCTTAAAGGCCAATCGAGAAAGAAGATCCCTAAAACTGAAGGGTAAAAAGTCCTTTCTAGAGGGGAAATGTTGAAGCATCATTATGACAATGTTGGGAAGGTATTCAGACTTTACTCCTACATGGTGTGGGCTTGTAATTTGTGTCTATTTACTTGATCAGTTTTTTTGCAATGGGTTATAGTATAGATCAGAGTACATGTTCTGCCCTGATCAGAATTTGTGTGTACATGGTGTGGACATGTTCAGATTCATATATGTGGCTATCAAATTGATTAAATTCATAGTAATATTTTTGAATAATACTTCTGATGAGATTATACTCTTACAAATTAGTACAAATATACTTATTTATGGATTTGTTGAGAATGATTCTTTTCTATATACTTTTATGGCTATATAGACATCTTATGTTTGAAATTTGAGAAGTTCCGGCCTGATATAATGATAATGCCCTTATAGGCTGAGAGATTGGTTGAATTCTTATTATGTCCAGTATTATTAGTTCCTGAACAAAGAAATTGTCATCAGAAACCATGAATGTCTTGCTGTGATTTCATGAATGTTGTATTGACATGTGTTTGTTGAATTTTTCAGCCCCCGAACATTGTTTGTAGAGTCGAATCATTTGGTGACGATGTTCAAAATTTTGATGAGGACATAAAGAAGTTGGTCAGAAAGATGGGGTTTGGTAGTTTGTTGAGTCTGAATATGAAGAACATTTCTCACCAATCTGTTACTGGTTGATGACCCGAGTGCAAGGAGATGGCACAATAGTGTTTGGGGATGTTAGAGTATTGTCGTTGGGTCCTAAACAAGTGTCTTCAATTCTTGGTATACTAATGGGAGCAAAGAAAGTGCCTGATGGTGTAGACATGGAGGATGTAAATGTAACACCCTAGAAATTGCTTTCCTTAAAAATACCTATTTAGCCCTTTTAAAATACGAAATAGGAAAATCTAAGATATTACTGCCACCGTGAAAACGGCTAAGGCAAATATCAAAGACACACACAGCGGAAGACTATCTTTAAAACCATTTAAAAACAAGTCAACTTAAAAAGTCAAACCAAACGAAAAGTAAAGTCAAATAAAGTCAAACGAAGTCAACCTACAACTTGGAACCATTGTAGGCCCTTAAAACCAAACAATATTAAAAATCTTCGTATTAGCCTCATGAGCAGAATAAAATAAATAATATTCAAAGCAAATAAAACACATCATATTCCTATAAGAACTAAGCATGATTCGCTCTTCACTCATGCCCATCATAAATATGCTTCTTCACCTGAAAAGCTTCTCTTGACTTGTCCCCACTACTCGCCATAAAAAAATGGGCCGTCGTAGGGCCAAGGTAAAGACAAGGCCAAACAAACATACAAACACACAATCAGCAATGCTAAGTACATAAGCGTAACAAAAACACACTAACATGCTTTCATCCTAACATCACACAACTTACCGTGTAGCACCTGTTACAAACATAAAAAACATTTAACACCTGACCAGACAAATACCAATGTTCATTTAATTTTGATTACACATCAAACGGGTTTCAAACCAAATCCCTACCTCAAATAAATTGAGGTAAACTACACCGGGAGCTAACCGGGTAGGCAAATGTCACATGAAGTGACTGGGCGTCCTGCGCATAAGATAAATAAAAAGGAAAATACAACGTCTTGTACTCCCAGTAGAAGTCATGGTTAAATATAAAACCCCATAACTCCCCCTATATGTTCATATTTAAGGTATATACGTTCCAAGAGTTTTGGTGTGTAATCTCTTTCACTTTACGTTATTTACATATTATTACACTTGGTGATGACTCTCAAACCACGGTACAATCAAACATAATAAATCATTCAAGCAATCAAACATACCAATTTAATTCTTGAATAATTAGTATCCACATAAATTTAATAGTTGAACCCTTTTTAATCTACCTCGGTGTCAAAGACACCTTAAACGCATAATGCGCTGCAAATCCTATCCCTCGGTGTTAGAAACACCTTAAGTGCACTTAAGCACCGCAATATAATTTATTCCTGTGTACTAAGACACTTGATAGTTCAATTTTCATGCTTAAAGCATCAATAAAAATTATATGAACCATAATTAAATTCCCTTTTCATATTCCAAACCAAATTAAACATTTAGTTTAATAGAACATGCCCTCTAACAAGCCAATAATAAAAGTGTGGTTCATAATCAACATGCCAACATAATTAATTCCAATCACCAATTCTCCATAAATAATTCACATATCACAAATCATTCACCAATCATCAATCCAATCAACAAATTCCACCCAACACCTATCATGATACTATTTGGAATTAATTAAACAAAGCCTAGCATGCTTTTACATATTCAAATAACTATTAAGTACGCGAACGTACCTTGAATATGATCTCAAAATCGCCACGACTAAATAAAATCACTCACTTGAAAGTCTCCTACAAACCAAAATTACAAAGAAGTATTAATACCTCTTCCACACAAATTTCCAGCAATATATACACTCTTCAACTCACTCATAACCCCTCTAAAATAACCTGAAATTTAATTAAAAAACCCTCACTTTTATTCCCAATTAATGGGTAATTAAAAATCCTTTCAAGAAACATAATTATAGCTTATATATAGAAATTCCAGCATTATTAAAACTTATAAACTTGCTGTAATTTATTTTAAAAACACCTATTTCAATAATTTAAATCACCCACAAACAATTCCCATCAATATACATCAATTTAGAAGGATTTTCAATTTGGGGCTTTTTAATTAAAAATCAAATCTGAAAATTTATATACAAAATACTTATTATTTAACATCATAAAATCATCACAAAACCCAAAAACAATAATTAGATTAAGGCTAGATTGAATTAAAAATCAAAGAACAATAATAATAATTTTTTTAAACATGGCGCACGAACCACCATGGCTGGGCGGCTGCCGCGCGCCCGCCTGGTGGCCGTCACTGCTGGTGTGCTCCGGTGGTGGTGGCTGCCGTCCGGTGGTGGCGCCGACCGTGTGTGGTGGTGTGTGGGTGGTGATTGAAAATAAAATAAAATAAAATAAAGGAGAAGGGGAAAAATTAAGGGGAAAAGAAAATAAGAGGAGAGAGAAAGTTTACCTTTGGGTGCACTCCACCTTAGGCATGTGATGGGTATTTATACCCCCCTCTCAATATCCCTCCTTCTTAAAATTCCTTTACTACCCTTAATGATCCCTTTCCTAGTCAAACTCGTATTTTGACTTTCCTTAAATACTATTGACTTTAAAATTATCTTTTTATAAAATAATATGCCCCAATATTTCCAAATCATAAAATAAAATATTTTCAAGATTATTAAATAATTAAAAATAAACTTTTAATTAAAATAATTATTTTTAAATTAATAAAAATCATAAATAATTCATTTCGAATTATTTAAATACTTTAAGAAATACTTATTTAAATTAAAATACGTATAAAAATACGGGGTATTACAGTAAAACAAGCACATAAGGTGGAGAGGATCATAGAAAGGTATGGTGTTGGGTCGAACAAGGACAAAATTTCTTTGGCTGAAGCTGCAAAGGTCCTTTGTCCACTTGATAGTAATGAGGAACTAATAAAGCTTGAGTCGGAGGAGGACGAGGAGGAATTTATGACCGCGTTTTTGTTAGTGGCACTTGGGAAAGTGATTTGTACCGCCACTAATTCATCCCACCTGGTTGTGTCTTTGATGCCTGCCTTGACTGTTACGTGTGAAGTAGCTGAGTATGATTGGTGTACGTTTACAATGGCCTGGCTGAAGAATACCGCAACACGATTTAAAAGGTGGTTTGACAAATT